TATAAATACGAGCCAAAGGCCTCCATTTTTGAGATCGGGGATTTTATCAAGAGGGCGAGGTGCTGCTGGATTGGAGAGTCAAGGAGCACGAAATTTTAGCGAAGGTTAGCGAGATCCCGGCGAACTTCAGCACAAAGGAGAAGCTGTTCGAAGGATCCGAAGCCCGTACGTCCGTTCCTTGAGATTAGGCTTGATCTTAATCTCGAGAAGAGCCCTGATTTCGCTTTGTCGATCTCAGCGCTTCAAGCAAAAACCCCCTTCGGTGAGGTAGAAGCTCTGCCGAATTTTCCTACAACCGGATCTGATTCGCGGTCGTCCACGGATTAACCCCGGCACCGGCAAAGAACCCACACAAGCAAGAACCGATAAACGGATCTTGTGTTTATTTTCAAGAAAGTTATAATCTTTTATTTTTGTTATTTGAATTCATTTGTAACGACTAAAGTTTAATGAAATCAATGATGAAGGCAGCTTTGTTTTCGCCAAAGTCGGTTTTGTTGTCGAATTCATTATATCTTCGGTCGATTACAATAAATTCAAAGAAAACAGCCTTTTTATAAGACTCTTTTACACAAAAAAAAGAAAATTACAACTCTTGAGAAAATAAACGCAGGATCGTTGTTTGGATCACTGCTTTCGTGGGATCTTTGCCTGTGCCGGGAGCGCTTTGACTCGTGGACCACCAAGTCACAGATTCTGATTGAATCGTGAGGAGTTTATGATTCTGACTTCGTTTATCGAAGTGAGAAATTGAAACGATATCTTATCGAAGTAAGATAGTCGTTCTTCTTGAAATCAAGTCAAAGCCTGAATATTAAGGATTGGCCGAAAGTTCAAGACCTCTTCTCTCTCTCTGCTCTGGATTGCTCTGGATTGCTCTGAAGTACTCAAAATGATCAGCCCCTTGGAAAAATGGCCTTAGGAGGGTATTTATAACCTCCAAGAACAGTTGGCAGAAAACAGGCTCGCGAGACAGCATTTGCTGTCTCGACGGGCGAGACAG